CTACACACGTGAGTTGTGTGCCATGTGTGTGTGCATGCCCGTCATGCTTGACGGATGCCATGTGTGCGTGCCATGCAGTCTTGTGAAGTGTTGTTCTGTTGTGGTATGCTTGCCCGCAAGCATTCATGCCATGCCTAGCATTGCTCTGCGCGCATGTATGCATGCTGTTCATTGTTAAGATTGTTTGTGTTCGCGCACACGCTGCCCCATGTCGCCTTGGCAGCTCTGTTGACTGTGTGTGCACTTGTCGAGTGTTTGTTTGAGCGTGCTGCCCGAGTTGATTTGGCAGCAGCTTGTTGTGCTTTGTTCATTCTCCTTGTGTTCTTGTTTGTTGCGTTTGCCTACAGTAAACACACACACCACCTGTCGTGTCTCAACAGTTTTTCCGTTTGCAAACATTCCTTCCTCTCTGCTGGCATGTGTGCCAACTGCCTCTCCTCTCCTCCTTCCCCTACACACGTGAGTTGTGTGCCATGTGTGTGTGCATGCCCGTCATGCTTGACGGATGCCATGTGTGCGTGCCATGCAGTCTTGTGAAGTGTTGTCTGTTGTGTATGCTTGCCTGCAAGCATTCATGCCATGCCTAGCATTGCTCTGCGCGCATGTATGCATGCTGTTCATTGTTAAGATTGTTTGTGTTCGCGCACACGCTGCCCATGTCGCCTTGGCAGCTCTGTTGACTGTGTGTGCACTTGTCGAGTGTTTGTTTGAGCGTGCTGCCCGAGTTGATTTGGCAGCAGCTTGTTGTGCTTGTTCATTCTCCTTGTGTTCTTGTTTGTTGCGTTTGCCTACAGTAAACACACACACACACACACGCACGCCACAGTTCCTATTGATTGTTATTGCATTTGCTGTTTTGTTTACCATGTGTGAATTTGTGATACACGGAGCAATGCAGTGGCGTGCACAGCCATCCTGGCTCAACGAAGCACAGAACGAAGCACAGACCAGGCACCACCTTCGATGCAGCAAGAGGGGAACGAAATGCAATCACAAGCGTGTGTTGTCAGGTAACAGTGAACAAATCAACCAAAGAGCATTAACCAGGTTCTTGCAAACAGATTGGAGGAAACAGGAACACATTAGGCGACTGTGCTGTCGAGCATGTGACATTTGTTCACTTCTCGTTTCAGCTTGCAAGAATGGCCCAGCGAGTGAGGACGACTGCTGCTGGCCACACAATCGAGGGGGTGGACGAAACACAGCGTGAGCACCAATGTTGCACAGCTGCAAATACAACACACAACCACAAATACGTGCGTGTGCATACCTGATTATCCTGTTACGAAGCCTTTGCGGATGAAGGAGCTCAGGCATCATCATCACACTGCT